CCGAAACCCACAATTGTATTATTCTAAAGGAATTTGCCCCTGAATAAATAAATGATATTATTATTAAATAGGGACCACGAATTAACATGTTTTTGTTTCATTAACATCAATTTATGAATTTTTCAGTTTTTCAAAGACGTAAAATAATCAATGATAAAGTTTCCCGTATATTTTCCATATACATTTAAGAATTTAAATGAAAAAAAGGAACAAAAATTGTAATGATCACTGCACTTTTGTCTTGTTCTTTTTTTCATTTACTAACTTCACCGACAATAACTCTGACATTAACTAAATTATTCCTTATTATGGAAGCTACCACTCATACTCAGATCACCTTGCCCTTTTGAAATCTCAATCGGTGTCGAGATCTCTTTCATATATTAGAGGTCGGAATAAAAGTTGTCGAGAAAGACTTGTCCTTGTACAACATCGAATATTTTTTTCCTACGGAGGAAGCTTGTGTTATCACTGATCTTTTATTGCGGCCTGTAATAGGAGAAAAAATATTAAATGCAGATGAGATAAATGCCATCCTCAAAGTCTCTCCCATCTTATTCTGACTTCTACTAGAGTTGCAGGAGGATCTACGAGAGGAAGTGGGTGCTATCGGGCTGAGGCCTCCTCCCAAAATGATAAAATATAATCAAGTCTCATGAAAAAAATATTAACAAATTATGTCTAAAAATATTATTGTTCGTGTGATTACATTTAGAAGGACTTCAAGAATTACTTAAGCACCATTTCATATAGGCAGTTAATTTCTTTCTTTTTTAAGTAATTATCGCTATATATTTATATAGCGATAATTACATACAGACACACACACACAGACACACACACACACATATATATATATATATATATATATATATATATATATATATATATATATATATATATATATATATATATATATATATAAAGTTCTCGGACAATATAATATATATATTAAATCCGGGATCCGCTAGTGACTGGAGTCAGTTAAAACCTCGCTACTTCGACTGGGCAGTAAATATAAGTCAATTGGAATATTCAGTGGCTATATTAAAGAGACTCATGAATAGCTATTCAAAATATATTTTATTTGATACGGGTATCTCTGTTCTTTATACCCCTCTCCACTAAACGGAATTCTAATCCACATATTTTATTTTTGAAGCGTTTTTTTATTCAGCGATGAGTTACATCTCTGACCTTTACCCAACTCATAGCTCTGCTGCAGTATTGAAAAATAAAAATAAAAACAAATAAAAAAAAACATAGCTCTATACATTATTAAACTTATTGTTAGGAAATTATAGTCTTATTATAAAGAAAATTTACCTTCTTATTTAATATCATTTCACTTGTAAAATCCTTCATGAAACATTAGAGGTTAAAATATGTACAAAATAAAAAAAAAAAAACAATAAATTGCGTTAGTTTAAAGTGTTTCACGAAAAATCAATATATTTATTTTAACGTTAAGATTCCTCTACTTTAGGAGGTTTAAGAAGTTCTCAGTTAATATAACAAAGAATCCGTTTTATTGTTCAAGTAAAATAAATGTGAAAGATAAAGAAAAAGTCAAGTTTAACGTCCTATAGCGGGACCTGAGGATGATACTGAGAAAGACGAAGTGCCATCCTAAATCCATAGAATACAAGAACATCAAGTTTTCTTTAGAAAGGATCATCCAACCGTAATGTTCCTAATGTCTTCTTTTTCCAGACAACCAGTCGTAATTTGTTTTCTGGAGTACTAAGGACGACAATGACCACCTTCAGAGGCCATCACAAGTTCTTAAATCTATGACATTTTTTTTTTATTAAACTATATGCTCTCTGGAAGTAGAATAGTAATCAGACATTGATAAGCGTGAGGAAGATGAGTGCCCTGCGGCATGTCTTCCTATCATGGTTTCATTATTTATATTTAAGCTAGGTAATCCCTCATACAGATCATTTGAGCACTATAAGGAGTGTTTTCAGGCATATTAATTGCTAGCGAATCCTGAAGCAAATGAGTGAATTATTAATCTATGAAATTGAATATCAAATATAGTACTTTGTATCTAGGACAGTAAATATAGTAGGACATTTACTATTGAGTAGAAGCGCCTTCAATATTTAGGCATATTATACAACATAATGGTTATGCAATGCGGTATAGTGCACATCTCGCGCCTGCCTACGACTTCAGCTAACTAGATCTTTTTTTATTGAAATGCTGCAATATAATGGAGGCAGATAAAAAATAATAAATTGGCAATGGTGACGCTGGAAGAAAAATATGTAATCAAATAATGGCCTAAGTTAATGAAAATAAATAAATATATAAGTTTTAAGTTCAATGAAATATTTAAGAATTATATAAAGAATAAATAAATTTTATATTATAAAAATTGGTGAGAAAAATGGTTAGGCGATTCCACTACTATTTTTTAACAACGCCGTGTAAAGTAAATATTTATTACTCAATATAATCATAATTTATAACACGTTACAAATTAACACAAAAATGATTATATAAAGAAATAGAAGTTTCAACATTATAATATTTCTTAGACCATGATTCTTCAAACAAAAAAAATCTTCAATTATATTTCTTTTTTTTTTTGTAAATATATAATTAATTTTTCCTAATGTATATTTTTTTTTTTTTTTCGTTTTCTACTCACATTTACCAGTAACGAAAGTGCCAGTAAACAAATGAGCTGAAGGTCAAATGTGATGTGGGTGTCTCTCATTCAGCTCATTTTTGATAGTTCTGTCAGCCATTGTTATGTCGTTTTCAGTCTCCTGTTATGTTCATGACGTTAATTATGGAAGCGGCAATAAAGATTATGTACCCGTTGGTCGATAGTTAGTTGATTTAAGTGGCTATGTTAATATTTACTTCATGGAATGAAAAAATAATACCTTATTTTTCTTGAATTCCTGTTATATTTTTGCTGAAGCATATATCTGTGAGACGTATTTTTATTCGGGTTTAAATAGGTATGTGTATGTATTTAGTTTCTGTCTAATTTTCACTTTCGATGATTTGGAAAGAAAAAATAAGTAGAGTAATTTCAGTCGTTTGTATAAGATTTTTCTTTTCGTTTTCACGTGTGGGATTTATATATTAAAGTGTAAAAATCTCAATATCACAAATATGTAAAGATATCAATCACTTCTTTATTCTATTTATACATAAAAGTTTATGTCAACGTAAGTACGTTGCCTATTATTGTAAATACACAGGCGGAATCTCTATTTCATAGGCGGCACAATAGGCCGGAGCGGTCAGACACAAAGGCGCCCTGAGGCTTGAGGGTTTAGGCATTATCCGCCCTCTTAGGCCCTAATGAAGGAACGGTTTCATCAGCTGGAGCCCTGCAGCCAGCCCTTTCAAAGTATTCCAGGCGAGCCACTTATTTTTATACCTCTAGAATCGGCTGTTGAATATTATTTAACGTTTAATGACAATTAATCAACAAAACAACATTAAGTATCAAGTAAATATTATTTAACGATTTTCTTCAAAACATAACTAAAATTGATAGTCACTCTCAACAAATACAAGGAATATTTACATATTGAATTTCATTGTCTCCTTCGATTAATAATTAATAAAAGACATTAAAGATCTTGAATTACGGCCGGTTTGGTTACACGAAAAATTTAAAGATTTGGTTGAGTTTTAATCTTAAAAACCATAAATAAAAACAGATCTCATGATAATAGCATTTAGATGAGACAATTGCGTGTTAAAGGACTTTTTCACCATAGTCCATTTTTTTTATCTTTTGGAATTTCCTGGCTCTAATTCTCCTCTTTCTTAGTATCTTAGTAAGGTAGTTCAAATGGAAGAGTTCCTAAAAAAATATGGCAAAAATTGTCTCAAAATTAAATATCCAGATTTAGGCTGATTGTCAACAGTTGGCTGGTGCAAATAAATTTTAAATAACAAAAAAAAAATTGAAATGATAGTCAAACGACATAATTGGAATTGAAATAGAGTTAACAAAAAATAAATAGCCGTGAGTATCATCATCTAAATTACTCATTACATATATTTATATGTAACGAAGAATATATATAGTTATTATTATATTATATAATTAACACCTGCCAACAACATCTTACATTCATTAAAATTCTGATTAATTTTGAAATTATTGTTACCATACTTTTTTTAAACTCCTATAGCAGCTGTACATTTGTTGAAAGAACGATTTATAATATAATTCCAGAAATCAATTTAAAAAAAAATACTTCTCTGATTTGAGAATTACTTGATATCGGAACTTCTGATTTATCATGTATTTTTTTATGTTTAAATCGTCATCAGTCGGCATTTGGAGGTCAGTGTGTGAGGTTATGTTTCTAACGTACCAAGGTGCTTTTGTAATTGTTCTGAATGTTTTTGCTTGAAAGATTTGTTTATGTGAGTCTTTTTAGCTGTTGCAAATATCTGTGATACGTAAGTCCAAATAGGTTTTAGTAAGTAATTATATGTGTTCAATTTCTGTCTAAGTTTTAGTTTTGAATGTTCCGAAAGAAGTGAATTCAGAATTCTTAACCTCTGATTTAGCGTTTTTCGTTTCTTGATTATATGTGGGCCCACGTCATTTTTCTGTCAAATGTCAGACCAAGGTTGTGAACGGTATCTGTGGAATCTGTGTATTGTCAAGGAAAAGTGGAGGGCATGTATCATGTCGAAGGGTAAATGTGATGTGCTGTGATTTAGTCGGATTTTCCAAAGTTTTAACAAGTCATGTAATCTTGTTAAATGCTGATGTAGGGTACGTGAGGTGTATTACGTACCCATTAACGTTGATAATTTGTTGAAATGTAGCTCAGGCGACATAAAGTTAAATGCTTTCTGACAGGTGTATCATGACATTGTTTTTATTTCTTTTGAAGTTTATGTTAACCACGTTTTGTACCAAAAAGAAGGCTCAGACCTCCTTATGTTAATTGTAAATTTATAAAAACAAATATTAAACAAAAATTAATTAATAAATTGCTCACATTTCGTATTGTTGTGGTGCTGGAAGATATGGTCGGCCCCAATGTGGTGCCTTGGACGAAGGCGTACAGAAGCACTGCCACAGCCCATACTACTTGGTAACGCAGCCTTCTCCGAAGAGACATCTGTAAAAATAAAGTAAAAGTACATCTTTAGTGGTTTTACTTATGTTTTTAATCATGTATAGGGTAAATGGATAGTTTAGGAGTCTCCTTTTTCTATTTAACACTTTAAAATTTAAAAAAATGTTGAGTTATGTAGCTATGATCTCCATTTTTAAAAAAAACAACACATTTTTGCACTAGTGATGGACACTCCGAAATTCAATTGTCCTAGTAATGGACAGGGGGTTGGTAGCAGTAATGGACATACCTAAGATAAATTCTAAAATATTTATTTAAATATATAGACAACGATAAAGTAAATGTTCAACTTGCTTTTAGCAGAATTATTAGTAGGAAGGTATGAAACACACTGATCTCAAGAGCACTGCAGAAAAAATAACGATAGCCATTTTAAAATTTTCTTTTGGGAACTTTTTTTATCTAGTTTTCAACAAAGAGCATTTTTCTTCAATCTAGAAAAAAACTGGAACCTTGAAATCAAGACAAGTAAGCTTATTATTTACATTTTTTTGGTTGTTGTTTATTTAATGAAATTTACAACTGTATACAAATACAACTAGTAAATATACACAAATTATAAATAATGACATGAACAGGCTTGAAGAGACATTACCCAGTGGTAGCACTCCCTAAATAATTCTAGGAAAGAAGATCACGAGGCCATCTCCTTTTCAAACGCCTAGGAGGTTTATCAGGAATCGTGGAAGAAGCAAGGGTGGAAACAAGGGGATTTGTATGGGACTGGAGTTTATCATAAAAGGATAGATATCTGGCTCGGGCTAAACCAGCGACATTAAGGTCTTTATGAATGGTTTTATTTATGACAAAGTATGGACCATTAAGGATTTTGGATTGTAAGGCTTGGATACGATAGGAATTCGATAGTTTGGTGGAGCCCCACAGCTCAATTCCTATATGTCCATATAGGTCTTATTATAGTTATGTCGATAAGTCTTTTGGAATTAATTGAAAGTTTAGAGCCTTTGTCTAGTAAGTGTTGGAGCAGTCATTATTTACATTTAAAGTCCAATCTGTCCATCACTGGGCCATTACAGGTGCGTTCACCCTACTCCATTAATTTTCTTTTCTTTAGGAAACAGAATTAAAATTTTGTATTTGTTTTAATTTTTATTTTACTATCATACATTTATTCGCACTTGTCATCTATAGTATGTTGAGGATCAGCAAATAAGATAATAAAATAAGAGATAACTAACTACATGTCAGGCATGGAGAAGGGGGGTACCCATTAACACCTCTTCCCTGACTTGAGTCAATTACATCGGTTATATAAGAAAAAGTGCTTTCTAATTCAGGTCTCCTCCGCATATAAAGAGATATTTCTACTCATGTCTCTTATTAACTGTTGTGATTTTCGTTCAAATTTGTATAAGATCTTTGGTAAAGGGTCGATGTGTTGGTTATCTGTAGAGGAGGGAGGTGGGTATGTAGAATATTGTTAGTCAGGTATCAAGGTGCTCTATCAATTAGTCGGAATATTCTTAAAAAAGAAATTTACAACTGAAAATTATTTGGAAAGAATATATATAAATAAAAAAAAAAAAGGTATTGCAAAATCAATTTTCTTATTTAGGATATGTTATATATTGTATATAGGTATGCATGTGTTCTTTTTATTTATTTATTTTTAGGTTATTTTATTCTTATTTATTATATATATATTATTTTTCTGTATAATTTATTTTATTTACTGTACATAGAGTGTGAATGTGATCTGTGAACACTATTATAAATGTTCTTGAGACAGATTGTAATATTTTTCAATAAATAAGCTTATAAAAAAAAAGGATATGTTTTAAAAATCTCTTTGTTAAAACGTTATAATAATCTTATGAGAAAAAGGAGGTTTGAAGTTTTTGTAGGTGAGACTTTTTGCTGATACTGTATATCTGAGTTTAAGTATGTATATGTATTCAATTTCTATTCCAGTTTGAAACTTAATATTTCGAGAAAAATAAATAGTTGAAGTAGTTTGGTCGTTTGTTAAGTGTCGTTTCATTTTTACATGGGTGCTCATATTACCCTTCAATCGAAGGTAAGTCCAAGATAAAGTACTGGGTCCGTTTGAGGATTCTGGCTGTTGACAATATAAACTTGAGGGTAGATGTTTTTTCCAAGTGTTGATGATATATGCTTAGATTTATCATGATTTAGTAGAATTTTTCTACTATTTATTTCATAGTTTGAGTCTTGTAATTTGAGTAAAAATTTTATTTTTATAATTTATACAATATGAAATTTTATTGATTTTTGAAGGGCTATGACCTTGAAGTGAGATAATTAAATATATTAGAACGAAAGACAGTCAATGGGTTATATATACATCAAAATCAGAGAACCATGTGATATTAAACCCCTTTGGCTGTGGACTGAATTAGATTCTATCCATTATTAATACTGAATGGAATTAAAGCCCAATGGTTCGCTTTTGATGTTCCAGCCCAATAGATTGAATTTAAGCCCTTTTGTATAAGAGGCGTATATGGCTTCTGCTATATTAGGCGTTTAATAGGACGTGAGAACAAGTCTTTTGCAGGATAGGATAGTCGCTCCGTTCGGCTGAATCAATGGAATTATTTTTGAACTACTCGCAATTTGGGAGTTAAAAAATTCATCAAAAAGTATGGACGAATATTTAAAACTCAATAGAGCTATAATTTTTACCATAAGGTAAACATTTTCTCATTTTGGAATACAAAGGCTTACGATTCTATTGACCGCCAGAAACTGTATAATATTCTAATCGAGCAGGGGATTCCAAAAAAACTAGTAAATCTAGTCAGGATGTGCTTGACGGAGACACTCAATAAAGTTAGAATCGGTAATAATTTGTCCGAAAAATTTGAGGTTCGTTCGGGTTTAAAACAGGGGGATTCTCTTTCGCCTGTCCTGTTCAATTTGGCATTAGAACATGCCATTAGGGAGGTAATGCGTTCCGAGAAAGGGTTGGATCTGGGCGGGACAATATCCGTGCTGGGCTATGCTGATGATCTGGTACTGTTAAGCGAAGACGTTGAAACTATAAAACTAAATACGACAACGTTAATGAAAGCCGGTAAAGAACTAGGACTCGAAATAAACGTGGATAAAACAAAATATATGGTTAGCTGCAAAAATGGCGATACTACTGGTGATATCGATATAGATGGTAATATGTTTGAACAGGTAGAGAAATTCAGGTATCTAGGTTCTACGATAACTAGAAAAAACGAAATTGAAGAAGAGATTAAGGTTAGACTGAAGGCGGGAAATGCTTGTTATTTTTCTGTGACAAAACTACTTAGTTCGTGCCTCTTGTCCCGGAACTTAAAAATTAGAATCTATAAAACAATTATCTTGCCTACAGTTCTTTATGGATGCGAAACTTGGCCGCTTACATTAAGGGATGAGCAGCGTCTTAAGGTTTTTGAAAATAAAGTATTGCGTAGAATATTCGGACCGAAGAAGGATGAGTTAACCGGAGAGTTCAGACGGTTACACAACGCCGAATTGCGTGAGCTGTATCCGGGTAATATAATTGAGGTAATTTCATCGCGGCGAATCAAATGGGCTTGTAAAGTTGTTGGGCTTAGTAACGAGAGAATTCCTAAAAGGTTAATATTTGCTGTGCCGAATGGTAAGCGTCCGAGGGGTAGACCGAAGCGAAGGTGGGAAGATTGCATTAAAGCCGATCTGAAGGGACTGGGTTTGGACGGGGAACGGTGGAGGGAGATGTGTAATAAGCGATTGGTGGTGTCGGCATCGAACCTTCGGGTTCGCTAAGCCTTTTATTATTATTATTTTTGAGATAATAATAATACACAGTTTTTACTGTAAAAATTCCCCTAATACAGAATAAATGTTAGTAAAGCAAAATACTATAAAATGAAAAATATTTATGTAATTAACTGAAATTTTGTTAATTATATTAAAGAGAACTAAAATAATATTGCACTGCTGTTCAACTGTGTTGAGTTGCTAATTCACACAGTAAACTCATCAATCAAATTATTTTATTATATCACTTCAAATAACAAAACACATCCTTCAAAAATCAATAAAATTTCATATTGTGTAAATTATAAAAATAAAATTTTTTACTCAAATTACAATGCTTAAACTATGAAAAATTGTATTGACTTATATGATTTATTAATAAATGATATGATAAATCTAAGCATATAATATCAACACTTGGAAAAACACCTACCCTCAAGTTTATATTGACAACAACCAGAATCCTCAAACGAACACGGTACTTTTTCTTGAACTTACCTTCGATATAAGGATGACATGGGGCACACATGTAAAAATGAAATGTAAGACACTTAACAAACGACTCAACATACTTCAACCACTTTTTAATATTAAAATCTAAAACTGGAACAGAAACTGAATACATATACATACTTAAACTCAGATATACGGTATCAATAAAAACTCTCACTTACAAAAACTTTCCTTCCCCATTCCTGACATGTCATTTATACCGTGTATTTCCAGCACATTTTTCATTGTTATGAAAAGTTAACATGAGTAAATAAATTTATTATAGTCCAAAAAAAAATCTTGAGAAAGAAATTTACAACTGTAAATTATTTGCAAAGAACGTTTTTGTATTAAAAAAAAAATACTACAAAACTAATTTTCTTAATCAGGACATGTTTTCAAAATATCTTAATTAATATAAAAAGTTATAATAATCTAAAGAAAGTAGTTTACAACTGAAAATTTTTCAAGAAGAACATTTCTGTATTAAAAAAAAAAGAGTAATTTTACTATAAAAAATTAAGTTTCTTGATTAGGATAATTAAGTTTTAAAAATTTCTTTATTAATATAAACATAAGCTTAAAATTGTAGTGGTCTATTTCTGTAGTTGTAGGATAGGCTTCCGAAATACAGAGCATATCCTGCAGACATGTCTTGAGCTGGAGGACTTCAGAAAGTAAATTTGGCCAAACAACGCTGACTTCTGCAATGGTCTGGGAGAAGAACTCAA